GAGGAAATGTACCTAGCACAAAACCAGTCAGACTTTGTATTTCACGTATACTTCATTTTGTTTCCAATCCTAGCTAAAAGTCATAATGAAGCCTAAGCCCTGGTCAAAACGGTGGGAACGACCAAAATACAACATTCAGGGAATCCAGTTTGAACTACCTAAAGAAAAAATGGAAGAAGCCAAAAAATGGAGCAAGCCCTGGGTACCATTTGACATGTTGCGAGAGTATGACACTTCAGAACTAGAGAAGGAAATATGGGAAGAAGTGAATGAAGAGCTGAAAAAATAATCCTATTTTTTATATGGTGGAGACCTGTTATGAGGCCCTGCCTTTGAAGCTAATACATAGTTCCATAGCTGTATATAATATATACATAGACAGAAACTACAATAAAGGTGATCTTTTCAGAGAGTAATATTTTGTGTGCAAGTGAAACAATTATATCCGTTTGGGGGTGGGGTAGGTGTCAGAAGTGTAATTATCATATCCATTCTTCTCCAGAAGTCTTGCCTGGCTTCAGGGCATTATTTTTACACTTTTCTTTCCCCTCCATCACATGACTCATTTGATAATAGGCCCCAAACAGCTCATTTGACAACAGGTCTTTAATAGTTACTCCAAGGACTATGATTTCTTCTGGCCATTTAACTGTCTCAGCTAAGAAACTACTTTATGTGCCCACTATGAAAAAGGCAATTTGAAAGCCCTGTTCATGTCTTATTTGTCTAAATAAGTCTGTGAGTGATGCAGCAGGATTAGTCTAAGGCAGCAGTTCCCAAACTGATGTATGCATAACACCAGTGGTATGGAGACAACCTGAGTGGTACATGGAAGGCCAGGTGGAGGGTGCATACAGACACCCAGCTGCAGCCTGCTGCAGGCAGCCAGGAACAGCCCAGAAGGTACATGGTGTTGTGCACAGCTCCTGAGGCAACAGCAGTGGGATGCAGAGCCCAGCGTGCAGCAGCAGCCTGCCTAATCCCCATGTGCAAATCCGGGCAGGTGCCATCCGTGCCTACTCTGGGATGCACGCAGTGGTGGGATTCTCTCCACGTCCCTAGAAAGGCCCAGGTTGTCCTGGGAAGCACCTGGGCAGCAGAAGCCCTGGATCTGGTTTTGGGGTTTTCCAGCAGACTCGGATCTAGATCCTGTGTCCTGTGCTGGCCCTGCTGGGGGAATGGAGTCAGCCAGCCTGAAGGGAGAAAACCCCCAGGGAGCAGCGGGTTGCCTGCTGGGTTCTGCACCCTGCTGCCATGCTTTGCCTCCTGCCGCAAGGCAGGCAGCGATGTGGTGCATTCAAGCCCTTGGGAAGGTGGGGGCGGGCAGGAAGCAGGGGCTGCTGTGGGACTGTGCACAGTCAGGCCATGGCAGATGGGGGTGCCCAGCTGCACCCAAGGTGGGGCCTGGGCCAACCTGCACAGCTCCGCAGGGATGGGCTGCACCCGCCCTGCCCATGAGGGAACACTGCCTGGCCAAGGCAGGATGCCAGGCTCTGGGGGTTGAGGGCTTCCTGCTCTGGGCTCAACCTCTGTGCACGACGCGGTGGCACAGTGTGAGCAGGGTGGAGCCACCCCTGGTGCAAGGACTCGGCCATGAGAGCTCCTGAGAACAGCTACTATGGCTGCCTTGGCCGGCCTGGGCCCTGGCCTTGCCCACCCATAGCTCCCCTCAAGGGGTCAGGGGCAGAGCCGAGGCAGGCACTGCGCAGGGCTGCTGTGCTGCAGGTTCCTGGCCAGCTCAGCGCTGAGCACCATCTGCAGCGGCTGTTCCCAGAGCCCAGGGGGGCTCTGCCCTGCTCACACTGCACAGAGGCTTAGCCGGGATCCCCTGAGCCTGGTGTCCTGCCCTAGCCAGGCAGCATTCCCTCATGGGCAGGGCAGCTATGCCCCATCCCCGTGGATCTGTGTGGGCTGGGCCAGACCCCACCTCCAGTGCCGCTGAGCACCCTCGCTGCGGCCTGAGTCTGCGGAGCCCCAGGGCAGCCCCTGCTTCCCTCTCCACCTCTGTTTTCCTCTAGCTGCTGCCTTGCCAAGGGCCCAGCCAGGCCAGTCTGCCCCTGCACCTACTCTGCCCACGCTTCTCCCTCTTCCCTGTCCCTCTTTACATTCCCTCTCCTCCCTCTGCATTTTCTCTCCCTTCATTTTCTCCCCTCTTCCCTCCCTCTCATCACAATGTGCTTAACAAAAAAAGAATACACAAGGACAAAGGTAGTATATGAAGTTTTATTGGTCACCAGGTTTAATATTTTTAGAAAACCTGGTATTTCCTGTAAAAAAAAGAAGAAAGCAAGCAACGTTTATGATTATTAACTATATTAATATGTAGTGCATCCTGCCATGTACCCCCTGCCCCAGTTTTGTTTTTCTGGTGTGCTGGCACTCTGGCACCTTACAGGGTAGACATTGCGGTTTTTTTGGCACTCCGGCCAAAAACGTTTTCTACTAGTGGTTTACACTGTCTTTTTCTAATTTACAATTGTTTTATATGGCTACCATAACTGGTAAAACAATGTTTTATGATTACTAAAGATTTTTATGTTGTTTTAATACATAGTCTGTTACCTATGTATATGAAAAAATTGCTGGTCGTACTTAAGGCTGTATCATTTTAAACTGGTGGAACAAAATCTGTCAGTTTGGGAACCGTTAATCTAAGGAGTTGTGAAATAAGGTTTTTGTAGATAGTGACCCCCAGCAAGCCTAGCTATTTGTCTGCAGGTTGCACAGTGTGGGTAGTATACCTCCCTGAGGTCTCCAATTATGCTCCAATTGGCAGGTAGGGATTGTCTTTAGAGAATATACTCAAAAGATTAAGGAACAGGATATACCTTGTGGACTCAGTGATCAGGGGACAACTGCTGATTTTAGTTTTGTTGGAATTTTTTTGAAGTGATGTAATGCACAAAATCCCACATAAGAATCAGGCAACCCCCAGTAAAGTCATAATTATTCCTATCACCCTCTTTAACATAGCAAAGCAGAGGAATGCCTCTGCTTCTATGCTGAATCTTCATTTCACTGCAAATTTCAGCCTCAGCCTGTGCCTAAATATCTGGCTTACACCAGCATAACCTCTCTCATTCTATAGCAGGGAAAGAGGGGCCTCTTGCCAGATTGCTCTCAAAACAAATCAGAGCACCCTACTGCAGTCCTCCCCTTTCCATCCTTGGCATCCCGTACCTACTGATAGTAGGTGACATGACCCAGCTGTCAGTGATGGAACATGTCTAACACAGTCCGCTGTTGATAGTAGGTAACGTCTAGAAATCAGCACTTCATGTAGTCTCCTGTTAAGGGGGAAATGTTACTTTGAACAGTTTCATAAGCTAAATTCAGTCCAAAATAAAGCTTGAGATTCTTCTGTTAATGATGTTTATCTCCTTTATAAAGGTCTGTAAGATCTGCTGAAAAAACACTCTGTAAGGACAGGCTACTTATCTGTGGAAGAGAATGAGGTCCTGTAACTGGAGGGGCTTAACTTTAACAGCAGCTGTTTTACCTTGTACTCCAGCCTTCAGAATATGGTTGAGACGATATCAGGTTTTTGTATACAGGCAACCCCTGCTTAACACTGTTTTGCTTAGCACTATTTCGCTATAACACTTTTTAAAAATTGATACCTGATTCCACTTAGCGCTCAGTGAGTTTCATTATAACACTCACGGTTGCTGTCCTGGGTTATTTAAAACACTTGCAGTCGCCATCTTGGGTCATCAAAAACTTTTGGTTTCGCTTAACTCTCGCTTCACTTAACGTTCGTTTTTTCAGGAACCAATTAAAAGTGATAAGCGGGGGTTGCCTATAACAAGAAATTCACCTTTGTGGAAGTCCCACAGAGTTGGCCCAGAAGCAGGAGATTTAGGATTCTGCACTAAGGTGAAGCAGGATTTATTTGGTAATAGTTTATTGGACGAAGTATAGAGTTGGGAAAGATGTTAGACTAACTAGGACACAAAATGCCCTTCCTCAAGTCACTTGTTTTAACATCTCTCCCAATAATAGATACCAAAACATACCAAACAAATCCTGTTCCTGGCATATTCCCTGGATTGTCATGACTTCAAGAATGTTGCCCCTAGGCTTTTGTTTCAGCAGGAAATGCATCAAGTAAAAACTTGATTTGTTTTTCAAAACAAATCAAGTTTTCTATTTCAAAAATACATTTTGAATTGCAAAAGTCCCAGTAAGAATGGTCCTTTAAAATATGTAAGTACGCTTCAGTTAGGTATGTAAGTAAGCACTCTGGAAGCATAGGTGCTTATCACATTAGCTAGACTTCACTGGGAGGTGAAAAAGTGCAACTGTTTAACAACTCAGTATTAATGCGAGACAATTTAGAACAGAAACAAACTATGGGGAAGACCAGGGTATGCAAAATGCAATTACACAAATTAGACCTTTACTGGCCATCACCATAAATACTCCTTACTTTTATAGTAGTCTGACTATATCCTTGACCCTAAATAGTAACTACTTTACAGCACTGGGAACACCAATAGGTCAACGCTACTAAGAGGGAATGTTACCTTTAATTAAACCTGCAGGACTATGTCAGGAGCAAGGCTTTAATGTACTGGCTCCTGTACAGGTCAACACTGCTCCTTTCCTGAAGATGCCTGTTTTACTTAAAGCAAAGCGAGTCTGAGAAATAGAAAGGGAAGGTAGGACAAAGTAACTAGATCACCACCAGTTCTGGATGCCCAAACATTTTAATTGGAAGAAAATCTACCAACTGCTGGGCAACCTCATCTTCATGAGTAAGTGAATCCTGTGTAGTCATCGCAATAGAAGATTATTGCTTTCTACAAGTGCAGAAGCATATAGAGAGACAGCATTGTAGCAGTCTGCTGCTTCATCACATCAGACAACAAAATAAGAGAACGCCCAGAACTGATGTCAACTTTAACAATAAATGGGAAGCTAAATGCAAACCTGTTTTATTTTACGAACAAGCCCATTCGTAATGAGTCTAAGCAATCAAAAATCAAAACTACATAAAGTTACTTACTATTAAATATTTATTTTGCAAAAAATAAGTTCATACACCGTTTAAAATGAAATATAAAACTGGTCACGGAACAAAGATCTACAAGAGTTAAGTTCTAGCGTCTACTGTAACAAAAATATATCTGTATGTTAAACAAGGTTTGAGAAAATACAGGTACAAATGATTCCATATCCAAATGTGTGCTGCCCTCTAGATTTTTATGGCAAATTCTTTCTGTTCCACTGCACAGTGACCCTTATTACATACATACAAAACCTCACTACAAAAATATACACAAACTATTTAAGAATTGTCTGATAGAAGGTGGGTGAGCACATTCTGATGGGAAGCAAAATAATAATTGCAAAGGGAGATGCCAGTTCACAGGGAATAATGTGAAGATGCTGCTAGTCCATGTAATTCATACATCTCACTGTCTACCACTGAAGTCTGTACAGTTATTAAGTCTGACAAAACACAAACTTGCAGATCCCAGGCCCACCCTCCTTGAGCAAAAAATCCACATCAGCCTCTGAAGTAACGTTACAACATGCAGTAGATGGCATTCTTACAATGAAGTTGCAGTGTTTTGTTTCTATGCCAAGTGTAATGCACATGTTGACCATCCCTGGCTATCTCTGTGCTGTTCCTAAAGGTCTATGCCAATCAAGCTCCGTGAAAATCCTATCACAAACACTGGAATCATGACAGATCTTCAGGAAGGGGAGCCTGGTAATCCCCCTGAGACAGACTGATATTAAACAATACTGTTACTCCGTTCAAAATTGAACGTACTAGTCAAAGCTATTTTCTTATAATGTGGTTTCCATGATACATTTTTTCAAACACTTTATCATTTAAATAAATCTCCCCAAAAAGAATAAAGTATTTCCACATCTTTGCAGGGCCTAAAACATGGCTCCAGTTTGGCAGCCAGTTGTCTGACAAATCCATAAACATAAGGAAATTCCAGGCATTTGATTATCAGTTCATCTCCAGCCAGTCTGTCCTCAAACAGTGCAACTTGTGCTGGACTTGGTCCTGCTTTCTTTGTGCAATAAGTTTTCCTGCTAATTTTGGTGAGAATTTTGGATATGGAAAAAGTGCATATTTGAGCCAATTACAAGCAAGACCACAAGGCCCTTGAAATATCTAAATCAACAGAACAGACGTAAAGATTAAGGGGTTGCCCCAAATCCTTAGTTTATATATATCCTCTGTTATAGTCAAACAGACCTGTTCGTGGAATATTAGCATGGTGAGCTGTGGCATTTTAAACATTGTATTCCAGTCCTATTGCTGCATTTCTACTTTCCAATCATGGATTTCAGGTGTTCTAGTTTGTATTCCTCAATGAAGTCCTCCACAAGACGTAATGCATTAATTTTCACCAACAGAAGAATCACATCTCTTGTTTCATCACTGATAAAAAAAAGTGTAACATTCAAGTATATTACCTCTTCTGTATACGTTTAGCTTATATACTTTTTAAATCCAGATAAACTGTACTGCATGATGGAAATGAACCTGGGCTATGATGACAGACTAAGATGTCCATATACAATTTAGATCTTCTGAATTTTGGCCATCAAAGACTAGACAAGAACATCCCAAATGCATATCTCCCATTTTGTTATGGAATTATATGTTGTTATATTAATGTTTTATGAGGTTAAACTAATTTGACAACTGATTTGCTTATAGAAACAAGACTTAAGAAGACAGCTTACAGTACAAGTAATATACTGATTGAATTTTGAGCAACACAGCAGCTCTCGACACCTACAGCAACAATATGATAGAACAATTTTCCCAATTCTCTAGAAACATAATCAGTAGTGTTATAAGAATGATTTCATGTAGAATTGACAACACGTCTGTGCATTGATACCAACAAGTCTGGCATATGAAATTACACTGGCCAGGGCTCCTCCTTTAACAAAAAGAACCCCCCTTTTCTCCATTATTCTGTATGTCAAATAAATTTTAATTTGTTGTTGATTAACAGCTCTGACTCACCTTTCAGTGTAAATGGCTGACAATGCAGTCATACAAAGCCCCTTTAAAGTGCACTATGTCTTTATTTAGGCACAAGGCAGCTAATAAATCCCCCCATCAAAGACAATAATATACAATGCATTCCGAAGAATGCCAGACTGATTACCTGCAGTTACTTCTGTACAGGGTATGTGCAGATTGCAACAAATGCTGGCTGAAATTCACCAACTGAGGCAGAGTTGAATCACTCTTGAGGTCTTGAAACCATCTTCCTGGGAAACATGCAACCACCTGTGCAACCAAGAACATATTTTGCAAAGATCAAACATTCCTTTAACAGCGTTAACTCACACTCTGCTATCCGTGAAAGGTACTTTTGCTTCCTCTTTCCTTGGTTCCGCGGTTGTAATTAGTAAGGAGTTCTGTCAGATGTAGAGCCAAGCATCAGCACAATGGACTACGGCTATTCTTGGCATGCACAAGAGCTTTGAGCATTTACAGGCAGATGTTTGTTGTAAGGATTGTGTGCATCGTGTAAGGAATGTCAGGATGGTACACAAAGTACTAAGAAAGCAGTACACAAAGTACTAGGAAAAGCCTTTCAGCACCTTTTATTTTGCCTCTGTTCTTCATTTGCAAGCATGTATTAAAAGAGACTCCATAAAGACATCTTTTTTCTCTTGACGTAAGACACTGTTAGTTACTGTCAGTTTGAACTCCTGACCTTCAGAGCATATTAGCACACACTGGCTTTAGGAAAAACCACTTGCTCATATTAATCCCTCAGGTCAGGGAATCAAAACATACACAGCTGAAAGAGGCTCTCATCCTTTTTCCCATCAGCGCCAAAGGATTAACAGATATGACATTTTGTTGCTAAAGGAATAAACCCTCTAGCGACTAAACAACTTACACTAATTACAGCATTAGGAAAATGGCTATTCTGGAGCCAAAAGCTAAATTGCCATTCTCCCTTTTAGAAAGAGTTTATTCTACTCTCCAGTGGTTACAACTTGGAAACAAGAATTAGCATTTCCCCTTCTCCCAGCTATGGCAAGCTCTAACTCTGGAGTAGGACATCAACCACTGGCATTTTCAATTTGTAATGACTGAATGCAGCTTTGTTTGACCGATCTTTCCTACATGCACACTCACAGCCTGCTTCAGCCAGAGAGGGTACAAGCCCTGTAAATTGCAAGTCCGACCCAGACTCCAGTGAAGTCAATAGAAGTCCTTTGATTTCTTCAATGGGCTCTAAAACAAGTCTTAAGGTGACGCTGATTAAATGGTTAATTACCCGGTGTGCTACAGCCAGCAAAAATGACTCTTGCTTTGTTAGTGAATCACACCCATATAAGAATTTACATTTTTTCACAAGGATATTTACAGTGAAATGCAGGCCCCCTTGAAAGCAATGGTGAAGTAATCATTAAGGTAAAAGGCATTTTCCTTCGGACTGAAGCATTTTCCAAGTAGAGTTACTGACTCTGACTGAAGCTATTCCAGGAGATTTTTTTTCCAACATGACGTAATGTCATTAATTGTATTGTTCAACCCGTTCACAATATCAATCTCCCAGATTGCTTTCAATAGTCACCGAGAGATCGATGCCAATTCCGGTAGACTCCCAGCCTACCTGGGAGGGTTGGCAACTCTATTTCCAAGGGAGGTCAAATTATGGTTCAAACATACCAGCTATGCCTTTCTAAAGCTATCAACAGCTTTTAGTGTTATTTTTAAAACTATAAAAGCTGAATGATTTGTTATTTATCTTATCTTCAGACACTGTTGCCTTCATCATAAACTATAAAAATTTTTTACTACATATAATTTTTACCTTGTTACATTTTTCTATATTATCTGGTCCAGATGGTGCATTAAGGAGTATTAAAAGAAGGTAACGATTCAGCAGCTTGCTTAGTCCAAGTTCATGTAGAGTCTCTTCTGGTACAATCCGATCCCAAAGAAGAATATTACATAGTAACTAAAATGATCAAGAAGTGTAGAATCAGCATAGACAGTGGAAGGTGGTAATATGAAATACAAAACTATGATGTAGATGTTTATACATTTTCATGAGAGAAGACCTCTGGAACACACGTGGGTTAGGATTTTCCTTACAGGTTCTCTCAACTCAGCCTTTTCCAAATTAAAAAAAAATGCTGCTGTGTTAATTTGGAAACACAGCCACTGAATTGCATGCTGACATCAGTGTGGACATCTGTGGTACGGAGACCTTGAACTGCATGCTGACATCTGTGTGAGCATCTGTGATATGGAGACCCTGCAATCACTTAAGTGATTCTTAACCAGGGACTGTAGCATCCTGAGGCACTGCAGCATCCCTGTAAGGATGCTCTGCCACCTGGGCACTGTGGAAGGAGGTAAAGTGCTCCTCCCCACATCTAATACCTTGTGCCTGTTTCAGCCCCTCATGGACAAGTGGTGCTTGCAGCTGCTCCTAAGTACTGCCACTGTTGCCCTCCCCTGCCTTCTGACAGTTCCCTTGCCAGCTACCCCATGGTCTGAGCAGCATGCTCTGCTGTGGGCAGACAGACTGATGGGCAGAAGTAGAGCTGCAGATCAACAGTTTTCAGTCCAGCATATCCCCCCGGCCCCCAAGCTCCTCCTAGAGCCAGTAGAAGAAGCCACGGGTGCAGATGGCTCCAGTCATGGTAGTGTGAGACCTGGAGGAGAAGCCTGGACAGCGAAGCTGCCCTTGCTCCCTCATATACAGACCAGGGGCAGGGAGAAGGTAGATGGTAGAAAGAGGACACCAGCTAGGTCAATGGTTCTCAAGTTTTTCAGCCTCATGGCTCCCTACAGAATTTCCCTGAATTTAGTTTCCAGCTTAGTAATTCTCACCCAGGGCGATGCTAAAGTCAGAAAAGTTCTGGAGGGATGGCTGAAGCTAACAAGCTTGACAGCCGCTGAGTTAAGCACAATTTGGAAACACAAACACACAATATAAAGACCACCAAACCTTGTTGGTCCTCATAAGTAGGCTTTTGGAGTGAATTATGGGAGGGGAATTATGCAGGGTAAGAATAGTGGGCCAGCTGAGAGGGAGACTTGCCATTTGAGGCAATGCATAGTTAAGCACAGTAAATACATGGCACATTCTTAAACAAGTCTCTCTAGGCTTCATAAAGCACATATTCCTCAAGAGGGTGCACCATCTGTTCCAGTGCAACCTTGGATCCCTTGAGTGTGTTTTAACATTGACAGTGCCCTCATCCTCCTGCTTTACCCATGGCGAGTTAGGGTGTTGTGTTGATGTTTTCAGGCATTGTGCCTGATAAGCTGTGCAAGAGGGTTGTGTCTGTAGTTTTAAGAACAGGTTAGAAAAATACCTGCATATGATGGTTGAGAAAGGGATAATCCTGCCTTGAGCAGGAGGTTAAACTAGATGGCCTCCTGGGTCCCTTCCAGCCCTACTTTTCTGATTCTATGAACACACCAGCACCTTAGATTTCCGACTTCCCTGATAATATGTTTTGTAGCTGAGACTGAGCATGACTCAATTAAACCTGAATGATTTTTCAACTGGAAATTATGTACATCTTGATTACCTTTACAGCAGACCAAAACTGCCTTTCTTGGAACTTCGAATGTGGCGATAGTCTGTCTTCCACTGTACTGGTCATGGACAGAACAAAAAGGAATATGTAAAATAACCTTTTCACAGCATTTGCTTAGAGAAATTGCTTATCTTTTCCGTGTGCTCCTGGATGTTAATTTTAGTACACCTTTAGCAATCAATGAGGCTTGCAAAAAGAAAATAGGTCTTTAGCCCACCACAAAAGAGCCTTTTTCAACAGAACGGGCTAAAACTGCCAGGCAGCTTTAGCAATGTATTTCTCCCAACACAGCTCTACTCTAATTGTACATCTTTCCTGGAATGAGATTTCCTTCATCCCAAACTGAGAAATGCACAGAACCTGCTAAAAACTCCAGAAAATAAGCACAAAAACCAGATTTTTTTCTTCAAAGTAAAAAGTCTCAAGGAAGCCATAACAATTCATGGAAGTGAAGTGAAGATGAATCACAGGGGAGAAAAAACAGGCATCCTTTTAACAATCACCAACACGTAAAGCTAGACCAGACTGTGGCACTTGCGTGCAACACTTACTTAGAGGAAATTCCTCTAGTGAACAGGACTACTCCTGTGACCAAGCATTCACCCACATGAGTAAGGGCTACAATAACCTAGTACCTACAATTTCCAAGGTATGCTATTTATAACAAAAGTGAAGGTCTACAAAGCCACTGTGTTGTCAATCCTGATATATGCATGCGAAACCTAGATAGTGGGTGATGCCATGCTATGAAGCTGAACCACTTTTACATGGGCTGTCTGAAGAAACCGATGAGGATATGATGGCAAGGCAAGGTCCCAGACACTAAAGATCTCACGCAGACAGGCTTTCTAAAGTATCCACACTGTGTTGATGAAATCACAGGTGAGATGAGCCCATGTTACCAGGATGTCAGGTGAGCGACTGCCAAAGAAGATCTTCTATGGCACACTCAAGGAGGCCAAAAAAAAAGTTTCAAGGACTCCCTCAAGTCATCCTTAAAATGCTCCATGCTAAATTGACCCAAAGTCTTGGGAAGATCTCGTTCATGATCATTCCACCTGGTGAAGCCTCATCCTTACTAGAGCTACAGGGTATGAGTACAGGAGAACTGCTAAGACAGCCAGAGCTGAACTGCAACAGCACAAATCTCACAACAGCAGCTCATCTGCTGTTGATCAAACAACCCAAAGCAGAATCTCTTGCTCAGCATGCCACAGACAGTTCAAAGCACAAACTGGCCTGATCAGTCACTCATACTCACAGAAACCAAACCAACCAGTGATGTATGGTCATCTTTGAATTCAAAGGACAAACAACAACATTTCAAGAGAGGCTTCTATGCAATTAGCTTCTAATTCATGTCCACAGCATGTTAGACTGGCACCTTCCACTCAATAAAGTGATATTACTTTATAGAACTTACCTTTTAGGATACACAGGAATAAAGACGTCTTCCTCTATTGATTTTTTCATTCTTGAAACAATCGAGTTTATCAGATCCTATTAAAAAATGAATTAATAACATACCACTGTCTTCCCACTAGAAAATGCAATATTTCAACTCTCGCTTTTAGGATACAATTTTAAAGATGGCGTAGGAATAGTATTTCAAAGGTAAAATACAATGGCTGTGGACAGACATACACTGAACCATTTTCAAAGTGGAAAGAGGGGACTTACCATCCAAGACTGCAAGTCAGATGAGCCACTGTAACTGTTTCATCTGTCCGCTCTATAGCACTGCAAGTTGTAGCTAAACTGCTACAACCTAAACCTGAATGAAACAGGTTTGAAGTTACAGTGGTTAAGTGTTACAATGGTGTAACTTCTATGTAGAACACAAGACAGAGGACAAACGAAGCAGTTGCAACAAATCAGTGCTATAAGTTTGAAAGTACTTTTACATCTGTCCACAACTTTTTGTTTTATAAATTAAAATCCGTCTATAAACTAGTACAGCTCACACAAGTATACTCTTTTTAAAGGCTTTCTTTACTTCTACAGTAATTTTAAACTACAAAAACTAAGCTCTGAAGCATCCTCTGATTTTAACAGTTAAAAGTGTTTAAGGTTCACTGTGTATTGTTCAGAAAGTCAAATGTGAACTAAATATTCTGGAAAAGTTCACCTTCATGGAAGAGCAAAAAAGATTAGCCTTATGATTAGCCTTTTGCTAATAAGAGCTGTGAGTTTTCCAATAATAGTCAGAGCCTGCTTCTGCCCAAAGCAACAGACATCTCCCACTGACTTAAAAATAGATCTGAATCACAGAATCTGTGAGCAAAACAAATGTAGCTTAAACCTTTTGCTTGTTACAGATAAGCAACAAAGAAGGTAACCAAAGCCCAACTACAAACTGAATACAGGTAGTGAGAGTAGGAATAGTATGCATGATATAAAATGACTTGAAAATGTCGAAGTATTTTCTTGGCTTTAGAAACTTTTACCTGTTTTGTTTTACTGGATTCTTTTCTAGAAAGGGAATAGTCTTCAAAGATTTTTTTGCAGAGTTGTACCAAATTCTCCGTCTGTGAAGTTGACAAAGGATCCCATATATGTGCTATAAAGCCTGAAAATAATATTAATTATATCAGCAACAATGTACAATTCATTATTTGCTTTGAAAACTTAATTTGCATATATGTATCTACCATAAAAAAAGAGATCAATGCTATTCCGTTCTTCACCTCTGCAAAAAGCTCATAGTAGAAATGTTTTGAGGGATAAATTTAAGCATACTACATATATATGTGTGTACACACACATGCACAGGCATGTGTGCGCATACACACAAGCACCTCCCTCCAGAGCTACTTGTCTAAGGAATGGGTATATTAAATGGAGATACAATGGACTTAGGTTGTGTTAACTACTACAGATAAATAAGTCTACTTTATAAGCTTGCATTTATTTGTCTTTCTGTTTTTTGCAGGCAAATACCTTCTCCTACAAAGATGGGGACATGGTGGCATAACACGTTAAGTAAGCCAGGGATGCTCACCCCCCCAGCCCATGGAGCCATGTCATCCAGCCTGTGGGGCTCCCCACAGATCTGAAAATTTGGCAGCAAGAAAGCAAAGGCTGTGTTAATTGTTACTCCCCTACTGCCAAATTTCTGACCCTGGGGGAAGCTCCACAGGCTGGATAACATGGCCCTCCATGCTAGATTGGTCACACGGAGCTGACGGGTTGTGTGGGACCAACCTGGACAGTGTGGAGCCCGGTCCCAGCATGCATGGCTAGACAGCGGTAGCATGGGGCCCAATCCTGGCATGCGGACTGGCCCTGTGCTGCTCATCTGGCCTGTAGAGCCAAAAGGTTGAGCACAACTACATTCAGCCACTTCCCACAGTTTTGCTACACTCCAAACTTTTGCCAAAGGTGATGACCTTTAGTCAACTCAACTGAATGGTTCCCTGATCATTTGGGTTGGAGAGTCAAAGGGGACCAGACGTGATCTTATCCATACTGCTACCTTGTGTGCTGCTGGATATAAAAACTAGCATGCTTTAAGTACATTAACCCAGTGAGACACTAGATTCTGGTGGACCTTCATGGACCATAGGAAGCACTTGCAGATATGCCAGGAATACATTTTTATATCAAGATCACTTATGACCATTTGTAAATTGTCTGGGATCACTACATTCTAATGCACGTGCCTCTACTGCCTTGAGCTAAGAGCCCCAGGCTGATTACGTTCTTCAGGTTCTGTTGTCCAGTTATTACTAGAGAGGGACAAAATGCCACAGGGAACAGGCATGGGTCATAATAACTATGAGCTTTTCTTTTATATGAATCCCCCTCCCTTTCTTTTTACATGAAACCTAATATAAAAAGATCACCTTCCTACTTACAATGTGTTTAACACCACAGACCCATGGCTTCGTTCTGAACACCCAGAAAATCACTCCTGTCCCTACCTGCCCCTCCGCCCCCAAGGACTCAAGCTTTACCATTATTAGTACATAAAAAAATACAGTTAAACACAAAAAGAAAATTCAAATCTGAGTTGCTTCCCTGTATATAACTACATTAATGCAGCCTCAATGTACCTGTAATTTTCGGAAGAATTGTTTTTTCAATGATTGCAGGCAAAACTGTTTGATCGGGGTCATTCTCTCTCCTTGATTCAGACACATTTTTGGCATCACTAAATTCTACTACATCTCTGAACCATGGCATTTCTTCCAAGTCTGTGAAGCTCTCCTAACAAAAAAGGGTGAGACGTCAGGACTACTTAAGACTGATGCAAAGCATTTCTGTCAAAGCATTTTACTGATATGTTTCTCAGTGAGAGTTTTCTTTCAGGACGATAAATAAAAAACAAATGATTTTTCATTTCACATAGGAAATCTAAGCTGAACCACTGAGCCACAGACAGAAAAGATGCCAGTTTCAAAGGCAGAAGACCCAGGACAGAATCTATTTCACCTTGTGGATGACCAAAGTGCAGTTTCAACAAACTAGGAGTCAGGATTGCCCTCTGGATGCACAGATGCCTTCTATAAAGGCACTTATGCCCCTATACAGGATTAATGTAATTGCTCCATCATTTTAGTCAGGTAACTCAAGAGCTCAAGAGCTGGTCAAGCTGTACTTTGGTGGTCCACTAGGTAAACAGAAAGACTAGGAATAAAGCTGAGAGTAAAATACTGGGATTTTCAAAGTGGCCTCAAAGAGTTCAATAAAAAGTAAAGGATTTTGGTTTTTTTTGGAAAAGCAGATTTGTTCAAATATGAAGATAACACAGTACATCTTTATCAGCTTTTAATGTAGACATTACCATGGTATCAAAGAATGACGAGACAGGAGTACAGTACAATCCCACTTCCTTTACTTCTATTTTATTATAATAATATAAGTTAAATAAGGATGCACCATCAAAACTATTTAAGCTTGTAGACTGATTGTCCAATATTTATTGAAAGTTGTAAACTTAGACTGAGGCAGACCCATTTGGGAAAAAAATTCTGTTTGTAAATCCTTCACTGCACTGACCCTGGTTTCACTCTCCAAGTACAGAGTCTTCAGAAACTATACATGAACTGGTATATGTGATCAGAAACCAGTTCAAATTTGTAAAACAACAGAAATTCACGGCATATAAACTGCTTTCAAAATGGCTGAAACTGGTTTAAGATAAACCTGGATGGATGTAGTATCAGACTTAACTGATTTAGATTCAATCAGTTTACTGAATTTGTCCCAGTTCCCATCCAAATTCAAGTGACCTCACAGTCTGCCAGCATTGCAGGATGCTTTGCACCTCCCCTGCAAGCCCCCCCTTGCAGGGTGGATAGGCTAGCCTTGGCCCAAGCTGTCTGCTCCAGCTGAGCAGGAATGCGTACTCTAGCACCCCCCGGGCCACTACAGTAATGTGTCTGCATTTCCAGAATCAAAAGTGAATGTCTGTTCACTCGCTTATTGGTTCAATCTATGTAGTTTAGACTAACCTGTGAAGATTGAATCAATTCAGCCTTGGGCTTTTTGACTGTCTGTACTTAGCCCTAGTGATGTGCCCCTCAGCTTTCATCTGCTGCAGCGGTGCTGAAGGACAAAGGCAGGTCTCTAAAATATCAAGGACCCAAATCATATAAAGCTTTATAGATCAGAACTGGCACCTTGAGCTGTATATCCATGCAGGTGGAATACTACGGCAGCACTGAAAAATGAAAAATCTCTGGGGAACCTACCTCAACAGGATTCCAATTAATTAATTGAAGTCGGATTAGTGGATTTAAGAGTTTAGGCAGACATAAACTAATGTAAGCATCATAGTAAGAATCAGGAAACTTCTCTCTCCATTGCTGGAATTTCAACAGGATATTTCTGATGCTGCAAAAATCCACTTGCACATCTTCAAAGATTCCCTTACTTTCCTGTAAGATATTATCTGTGGATAATATATTTATCAATTAGGGAAACACCAATCACACTAGTGATACAAAACATAAAAAGTATGCATAGACAGTATTCACAGAGGAGGAATGTGCATGGTAAACTGTCTTTCTCACTTCCTCTAATCCAATTCTACTGAAATTTATTATAAAACATTCCCTGAGCTGCTTCTAGCAGCTGTCATTTTTTAAAAAAATTATTTCCCCTCCAATAATATTAGAACCTTTCACGGACACATCTCCCAACAGACAGTGATCAGTCTTGAATTATCTGACAGGTTTAAAATGGCAAATATCTTGAAATAAAGGAAAGGGGAGGTCCCATTTTTTCAAGGCAGGGCTTACTTCAAGCTGCACAGTACTCAAGATATCAGATATTAAAACCACAATGTTATATTAGAAGCTCTATAAATGGATTAGTTATCCTTTTCCTTCCCTTTTCCTCATGGTTATTAGAGGAGCTTGTTTTTATTGTACAGAACCAGTCAGTCCTTATTTTTTAAAAATTAAAGGAGGAAGACGCAAAACACACAAAGCTGTGGTAATCCTTGCAATAATCTGTATAATTCACTCGTAGCCTAGCCATATGCAAGTCATTTGGCTATTTCAAACCCACAGAGAAAAAATTACAGGAAACCACGTCAACATGTGCTTTCCATATCCCTGTCATAAAAAACCCCTGCTAACTTAGAGTCAAACTTGACTGAGAGTATTTCATCACCATAAGTGCAAGACTATTTAATCAAATTCAATTTAGGAGTACTCATTCAAAATAAATTTTCTTTTCAAAAGCATTTTATTTAAAAATGTGAAGGGACTTTGTTCTAAGGCATTACATAAAGGTTGTCCCTCACCTTTGTTCTCCTGGAAATCCATTATCTCTCCTGGAGACAGCTCATCATCACTGGACATACCCTCATGGTGATCAGATTTCCCAGAACTCCCTCTTGCTTGTCTTCTCAATCTCCTGTATTTTTGTAACAAATTCCCATTAGTGACCCTTCCATGTACCCATATCCAAGAGAAAACTTTTGTGGTGAAAGAACTGCTTTCACAAAAGTGGCATGAGTTTGCAAAGTAATATAGGCTAAGGTACAGTGTCAAACTCCCTTGCTCTCTCTCCTCCCCCACTGCAAGCCAGATCCAGACCACGGGACTTCCTGTGGGGTGGATCCAGACCCAATTCCAACAGCAGGACAAACTATGGCAGCATTAACTGCTGAAAGTTCCTGTGTTGACTCACTGACCTGTACCTGTTGCTTGTCCACTGCCACCAAAATATGGCCTCAGTAGGGCTCCACCTCAGAATTTGATGGTGGACCCTGTCCCTGAATGTCAGCTCCATCCAGGAGCCCCCTAAGCCAGATGCCCTGGCTCCACAGGCCTGATCTTTGACACCCCTGGCCTAAGGATATAAGATCAGCTCTAAGAAATACAGAGGAAAAATGGCTATTGGGTAATAATCTAGAGTTAAAAGGGTATACAATGGGTCTAGAAATTCAGATTAAAGAAATCAAGATGTCAGTTGCTGGGGATGGATTTTTCTTCTAATTCCTCCATTGTTACCTTTTATCCCCACATAATGAGACATCAACCACTCCATCTTAAGTACTGAAAATTGTTTTCAGTTGCTTCTCCACTAGACTGCACTACTTTTATTGGAGTGCTCTGTTGCATTGTGGATTAAGGGGGACTGTAAATGACACAGCCTGAAAGACCTAGAACTGGAACACCTGAAGGCCGCATCCAGCCAAGTGCAGGTGGCATCCAGACACATCTGCAATGCCATATGCTGCAAGTTCAGTTGTTCTCCGCACTGCAAGGGAGCAGCGCAGGGAGTATTTTTGATCCTTGGATATCCAGGGCTCAAAAAGATGGCGGGGAAAAAAAGCAGAGCAGTGCATGTTGGGGCAGAGTGCACTGCTCAGAACCAGAGCCTGGCCAGCTGAAACCATATTCTGGACAGCAGGATCACCGCTGCTGCAGCCCCAGGAGGCGCCCAGGACCCCAGGTAAGGCTGCTGGGGCCAGCACAATGTTGGCCCCAGCCTCAACTACTCCACCCGAAGTAAACTGCCGTGCAACAGAAGGCACGTGGCACAGGTTTTCCCTGGGGACAACTAAGGAACAAGGGAACCAAACGTCCACACACATGTGGATGTGGCCAAAGACTCTTTTGCATAACAGACCAACCTAAACATTTGGAGATGCAGCTGAACCCCAATTCCCAGAATCTGTGTCTGCTTCAAGAAAATGTTGAGTGGTTTACATGCAATTGCATGATCCTATTCATAGCTTAGTTGTTCTAAACATTTACCGGAAGGGAAGGTACTTATTGCATCATTTTCATTTATTTTGCAAGTGGGCTAGATTACATACTAGGTCATTTTCATCTCCAGTTTCCATGATTCTGTGACTCTCAATCTACTAACATTATACTGCTCCTTTTATCAGCACTTTGGCAATCCACACAAATTCTTCATACCAATATATTAGGTTTTCAGTCTCAGAGAACAACACACTGATATGCAGATCCTAAATAACCAGAGAATCAGGAACAGGAACAAGTAACAGGAGAAAGTCTGTTTCTAAATAGTCCTATCCTAAGCTTTAAAATGTGGTAAAATTCTTGGGAACAAATTATTAGATATACTACAAGTAGAATTACAAAATATAAGCTTCATATTTAGTTATCCTGCTGTTTGACATGCACTGTAAACAATAGGAAGTTACTCTAACATTGTGTAACGTTTGAAGTAACATGGATTTATGTTTTATAGTCACCTTCGAGCTTCATAGTCTTTCACCTGTGTTTCCTGCTGTGTTTTTGCATCAACTCCCAACCTGTCTTCAGTTGATTTGCTATACTTACCTGTCAAAGAATAGATATAAAATATTTTTGTTTGTGTTTATTTGTTCTTTGCAGTGTTTAGAAATAGAAGGAAAAAAGACTTTGCAAAACCTAAACAGTGCCCTCTGCAGTGTTAAAGCACCTGTAAGGACGGTGAGAGGTGGCAGTTTCTGAGTACACAGTATTAGGTCAGAGATAAGTATCACATTAAAATAAACTTGATACCGCTAGTGGGGGTGTTGCTTCTCAGTATCTGTTGGGAAACAGAAGTAAATGCTTTATTGAGAACTTTGCTGACAGGTGTCAAAGTGGTAGGAAGGGGGAACTGAGTAATAGAGACTTCTTGTAAATGAAAACTTAATCTCTGTAATGTTTATTGCAAATTCAACAAATTATTCTAACTGTTAAACATTATGAATGACGGACATTCATTTTGGAAGCTAGATCTGGTGATATAAACCACAGCTAGACTAGTCCACTAACAGTACTGCCTACCGCTGCCATTGAGTATTCACTTTAACTGAGTTCACT